GGGGGAGGTGTTATGTTACCATTTTCAATTCTATTTTTACCGGGAGGGGGGATAGGGTTAACGCAGTTTCCTTTAAAAACAACGAATTTTTTAAGCACTGACGCCACTTCTCTCTGTTATGTGCATTTCAAAAAGTGAAATTACGTTGCTTTTTTATTTTCAGGGTGAACTCATAAAGACTTTTAAAGAGACAGATTCTCCAAGATTGTTTGGCTATGTTGAAGCTCAGCTGAAAGAAAACGGAACGGGCTACCTTGTTGGTAGTGAGGTGAGTGCGATAGTCAGCCATACTGTGGAGTCGCAATGATACTGCTCACTTGCAAAATAAAACCAAGCCGTGCCATGCCATGATGTGGCGTGGATACAACCTCCTTGCGAGTGGCCTCGATAGCCTAATAGTTATGCTACCGGACTCGTAATCGTGAGATTGCAGGTTCGAGGGTTCGACCCTCAGCTTGGTCCGACGTTTGTCCATTGGAAAGGTACTTTACACGAAATTCCCATTTGGCACGGTCCTTTTGGAGATGGACGTTAAACTCGGAGGTCCTGTCTCTTAAATAACTTAATAGAATAGGGGCGTTAACCTATATCATTTCACAACCTTGTGTATTACGAGCTCATAGTATGTCTCTATGAAGTTGAGAGAACAATAAACTTCCAATCAAACTGAAACAAGGGACGTTGCAATTTTAGATCAGCGAATGGGGTGTATGTGTTATGTTAATAGGGAGTATAGACGGGGATAGTAAATTCTTAACTCTTACTCAACCTAGCGGGCACCTACGTCAGATCAGCAGTAGAGATCAAAGTCAACAATGCTGCACATTTCAAACCACTATACACAGATCAGAAGTACACATTTGGCATATTTCATAGCAAGCATATTGTTGGTTGCCTTTTAAAGTTTAAGATAAGGAGAACAGAATTGAAATATATGTCTGAATTAGGAAGTTATTGGGGAAGGGGGGGGGGGTTATTGTACCCCAAAACCAACGCGTCTTCAAACGTGCAAAATGTGCGTCCACAATGCGTTGACATATCGGGGATTGTGTAGTCGACATATAAGCACAACTGACGTGTTGCATAGCTAATACAGACGATGTAGGCTATAGTTTCACAGCTTCAAATTACACTTAGTTCAACGTGCTGTAAATATATCATACATCCTTGACAACATTGTGCGCAATCCTTTGTATTGCAAAAGCAATTAATCTTTTTTATTATTCCAACAAACGTGCTGAGGATAGAGCTTTCAAAACTATCTATTTACCAAAGCTATTATAGGTCAGTATTGATGAGGGGATGTGAGTCGGGGGATTGGGGGGGGGGGGGTCAAAACGTTTAACTACACTCTTAAAGAAGATCTCCAATTGCTGACGGTTAAGTACACAGCTACACAGGTGACCATCAATGTACGTGTATGTTGTTTGCTGTGGGTTTCCGACCTTGTGTTGTTGTTTTTTTCGCTTTCTCCCCTTTTACTTCGCTGTTATGACTGAGCCAAGCACTCTGCCTTCAAACTGACATATGTGTATCTAGATACACTGGTTGAATAGGTTGCGCTACTATCAAAACAACATTTCTGATGTCAACCTTGATTGTTGGAGCTAGCTCATACAGACATAGCAGGTTTTTAAATAGACAAATGTTTTCTCTAAAATAGCCTTCATCACGTCGAGATCGTATTTTGGGTATTGTTTTTTGTTTTTTTTTTAAGGGCGGGGGGGGGGGGGGGGAA